ATATCTTAATTGAATATCAGGCCCTCTGATAAATTTTGAAGTTTTATTGCAGCTGGACTATCAAGGACATTTTTCCTATCAATTTTATCCAGTCAACATCTCATCCTAAGATTTTAGTTTAAATTTAGTTGAGAATATGGATTGGGTATGATCCAATATATTTAGCAAAGTATCACAAATTGCTTTACTAAAATGACAGCCTAGGTATATGCTTTTGAAATGCAATGTTATTTATCATTTTTATTGATATCTCATTTCCATTGTGTCAGATCTTGTTCAACATGTTCACTTTCACAGACATAAAAAGGTTTATCCAAATTGAACAAGAACTCCGTCTAAAATATTTAATGAAGTAATCAGCTTTGTCACAAGTTCAACAGCATCTTATAATAGAAACCACTTTCTATGATTTAATCACAAACTGGTAACAATCTGATAAGACTCCAAAGAAAAAAAAAAAACAGTTGGAACAAATAAGTAACAATTCCTAAAAGGATACATTTATTGAGGAACATAAATACGTCTGTGTATACATGATAACTGTGGTGTTATGTGCCTATAATAGAAATGCCAGATACATCTACTACAAGAATGCTGAAGCCTCAAGTTACCAAGTGTACAAAAGCTAGGGTACAAACATGGTATACACTCTCAAGGGTCTACCAAGACTTCAAGGGTGGGGGCAAAAATCTAGCCAAAATGTCAGCAACATGAGCGAATGTCTGGTTTCTCTCTTTTGCAAATTTTGGACAAAGCGCAAGGCTACAAAGTTCATTGTATGAATGGCTTAACTTCTATTTAGCACTTTTCATCTTACAAAACTGGTGTTTTGGTTATCACAGCACAATTATCGACCGAAAATACTGTGCAAGTTCCTTTAGTATAGTATAAAATTCTTAATACCTTACAAAGACCAAGTGATTTTTTCCACTCTCTCTCAGCACGCTTAAGCTTCTCCTGCTATATACTCCTTGTGCCTTACTATAATTTTGATTGTGCGGCACTCTTTGTTCCCTATTGACTACTTTGGTGCCGTGAAGCTGTCTTTGGGTCGTACCGAATTCGAGGGGTTTTAGCAAGCGAGGGTTTATCTCGGGTTCTTGGGATACCTCATTTGACGACGGCAGGCAGAGGGGGCTTCAAATAAACCCTCCCTGCTCAGCCCATCGCAATATGTTGCTCGCTTTCTTCATCCTGGCTTTCAGCATCTTTAAAAAAATCTCGACTCCATTTAGAGAAGGTTTGAGAGAAAGGGAACTGGGATCATACTTTTTTGCATATATTACATACTGGAATGGGAGACTTTTAGAAGGACTTGTACAAGTGAACTTTGGGCCAGGATGGTGTTTCCAAGCAAGAACCCTCGATACACCACACGCTTGACTAATGAGCATTTCCTATCACAAGAAGCGGTGGGAGTCCCAGTCCCTCTGGTATCAAAGAGAACCTATAAATTGAGTATTTCCTTATTACAAAATAACTTCCATGTGTAAAAACTATCATAATGTTCTAGATGCCATATTAAAAGCTAGTAATGTACAAACTAATAGTACAAAAGTGATAAAAAAATGAGAAAGAATTTGTCATGGTAGCAAACTCATTTTCCATGAATAATACTGCTCTTAAAAACATAGTCTTCAACTAAAAACTCATATTGAATAAACCTACAAGCTATGAAAGCCACACAGAAAATATGACTCGACCGGTTCAAACCTTCAACGTCATCATCTTGCCCATTTGTCTTTCAATGCAATTCTTGAATATAAATCTTGTCATTACCATTGAGGAAAAAAATAGTATGAGCGGTCAAGGTTGTGTCGAACTACAGTACAAATACCTGGACCAAAAAAACATTAAAAAAAGAAAAGAAACTACAAGGAGAGAGAGAAATATAAAACAAACTCTGGTAGCAAGATCAGCCAGTAAGGAAGAAGGTGGGGGATCCTTACAACCCATTTGAACACGTGCTCACCAAGTACTATGAGCTGCATACAATTACTTGGCAACAACTTGGGTATGTAGGTCCTGTAGAAAAAAATAAGAGCTTTTTCCTTGACTGACTGTTCCCTACCATTGTTAATGAAGGTTAGAACGAGCTCATTTCTGACAGTGGCCACCGAAAATGTTATCGACTAAGTCGGCACAGGGGAGGTGCTGTGTTCCACGCTAACAAGAAGATCTATACAAAGTGTATCAAGCAAAAAAAAAGCCTTTCAAACAACATTTATCACATATATTACAAATAGATTTGGTTCTCAATTGCTTTCAACAACTTTGACAAACTTTTACTTCTTCTCTTCTTTCTCTTTCTCTTCTGTCTTCTTGTTGTCTTCCTTCTCACCCTCCTTCTCGTCCTTTTGTGCCTTCTCCTTTTCAGAGTCGTCCTTTTCCTTTTCCTTTTCGTCCTTCTTTTCCTCCTCCTTCGCCTTCTCCTCTTCCTTCTTTTCTTCTTCCTTCTTTTCCTCCTCAGGTGGGGGCTTGGGCAGGTGGGAGTTCAGGTCCAGGTTGGTGCACATGTCGTCCCAGTCGGGGAAGGCGCGCTCCTTAACGCGGTTGCAGAACTCTACCAGATTGGTGCAGTTCTCAGTCATCCAGTCGCGGAGTGTGTAGCTCACTTCCTTGTCCATAAAAGCTACCTGAGCCAGGTTAGCAAAAGCAACCACATCAAGCTGTAGGGACAAAAGAATGATTAGATAAGTCTACGGCAATCATGGAATCATGGAATCTCCAAATGACAGCAAAGTTATTTTATATATGTATATATATATATATAAATATATATATATATTCTTTTTTAATGGTTCAAACCTTTGTCAATTATCAAAATGGCAGATTTATCAGGCTAATAATAATAATAATATTAAAAAAGATTCTTAAATTCTAGATGTTTATTCCCCTCCTATGGATTAAGAAATACTATTTAAAAAAAATAGATCTGATGCAGATTGCAGTAAGTGGGAACATTCCTTGTGCATCATGACTTACCGTCGTGGGAGAATCACCGAAGAAGAAGGGTTTGTCTCCTAGAAGATCTGAGAGGACCATCAGGTCATTGTGTCCGAACTCCTCAATCTCCTCTGGCTTGTGCACACCAATTCCATGGGCACGGACCTTCTTGGCAGCCTGTTTCGTAAGGAAAATCATTAGCTTTGATAGACTTGTGGATCAAAATCGAAACCGTTCTACTACCCAAAATTATGATAATGTAATGGAACAGGACCAAATTAAGGCACTATACCAAAAACTGAAGTCTTAAATATGTTTCACAATAATACAACAAATCTTAAACAAAACGAAAAACAAACAAGACTGGGCAGTAACACAACTTTACATATTAAATACAGGTTAAAATACAGGACAAGAGGGAAGTGAGAGAAGCAGGCAAGGTGTTTAGGAGAGGAAGGGGGAGGTGTTGCTAGCATGGCGGGGCGGAGAGGGGGCTGCAGCTTACCCTCCTGAACTTAAGCTTGAAGATGAACTCAAGGACTGGCTTGGGCCACTTCTTTTCAGTGATCTGCTGCAAGTCCATCTTGTAGGCACCCAGCATGCCAGCAGGATTCTTGGTGCGCCATGACTTAACCACCCTACAAGAAAAAGGACACCCATGCAACATGCTGGTTGTTAAAACAAGGATTTTAAAAGCTTGTGATATAAGCTATTTTGTTTGCTATCTTTATAAAGAAACATGGTGGTGGTGGCACTATATCCCCCTCAACCTTGGAGAGGATTTCGACACTATTATCCCTGCTTCAACAGGAGAATAAGAGGATCCGAATCCTTTTCCAAGAGTCTGCGAGATCTGGCGTGGTAAAAGGAAGGGAGGACGACTGGCCTTGGGTGTGCACTAGACGCCACGTGAGGATTCTGCCGAAGGTTTTGGCTTCCTGTACAAGGAGACTGGATGGGTCTAAAAAGGTCTTTTGTACAGCAGTGACAGACAAGAGCAGCAGCAGCAATGGTAGTAGCAGCAGCAGGAGCACCAACAGCAGCAACAGCAGCAAAGGTCACAAAGCAGATGATTGCTTGTTTAAGCGAGTTATTGCTAAAAAAATGCTACACGAGGTGTAATTACAGAAAAATAACTAAAAAGGTGTGATACTGTGAATTAAGGAGGCTAAAAGGAGACTCGAGTGCTATTCCTTGAACATTCCTTGACCATTAGTACAGCAACAAGAACCACTCCAGCACTAACCATCTCCTTTCTTACCCTCTTAATGGTTTGGGGAAACTTTATGTAAATAAAAACATTTGGAGTTGGGCGTGGGAGAGGAGTGCAGCGAGAGGTGCCCTGACCTGGCGGTACCGGAGCTTGAAGGCAAAGTTCAGGACAGCATTGGGGATCCTTGTGTTTAACGCCTGCTGGAGGTTCAGCTTGGCGGCCCTAACCCACTCCCCCGGGCATCGGCACCGCCACCACTTGACCACCCTTTGTGTGGAGAACATCCACAGTTAAAAGCAGAAGGAGACCAAGTACAAGAACCCAACAGAAAACTCACCATTGGAAAGAGATATTAGTTACTCCTTTGCAGAAAGCAGGAAAAAAAACTACTTTTGGTTAATTCTGTGACCATGCAAGAAAAAATACCAGTACCTTTGTTAGATCTGTTAAAATACTAGAATTACCACCTCAGAAAGGCCCATAAACCAAAGAAGGAAAAATAAAGACTAAAAAAGCTTTTGAGGTAGCTAAAGACCTGATGTGGAAGATTGGTAAAAAAAAACAAAGCTTCCATCACAGCATTAGAAAACCATCCCATGTTAATTGTAAAAAGTTTTGGGGAAAAAGTGTTAAAATAGTGATTCCAAGAGGTCACTGCGCCAGTCGGTTCGTTAATGAACTGCCCAATGGCAACACCCACCGATTTCACTTTACGCTTAAACAGGAAGTTAAGAATCACTGCAGGTAATGCTTTCTGGAGGATCTGCTTCAGGTCCAACTTGTACCCTTGAATTAGTAAGTCTGGGTTGTTGGACATGAACGACTTCACAACCCTGAAATAATAATGCAGAACATGTATATACAAAACCAAATAAAATAGGCAGCTGGAAATCTGGACGAGGAAAAGAAATAAAATTGGCAAAAAGGAAAGCAAATACAAAACTGCAATACCTGAAATACAAAGGGGACATTAATAAGAAAAAAAATAAATGAGAAATAATTCATTGCGAAGTCCTTAAGATTACACCCTGGCTGGCTAATGGTGCAGTTGCTTTAGCATTCCTTTCCCACCCCTTGTTCTGGTAATGAATACCCCCTTCCTGCCATTATGACATCTGGCCCACATACCACGTGTCGTCACAGTACCAATGCCCATTCTGTCTCAAAACTCCTGTACCTTTAGTTAGACAAAGGTAAAGAGATGTCAAGATGGTGGTACCGGTAGTGAGGAGTGTGGAAAGGCAAGATATGTTGGGTGGAGAGGTAGAGTAGCATCCCCGCAGCCCAACCCCCCCAACCAACATGCCCATCCCCCCCTCCCCTAAGTCACCCCCCTTCCTCCCCCACTGTACGCGCGCGGCAGCAGGCGGAGGTTCAGCCTCGCCAGACGGGATCCAGACAGATCAATAGCCTACCCCCCCCCTCCCGCCCACTCCTACGCATTCCCTCCCAACCTCTCCTCCCTTTCCCCTCTTCCTCCCACCCTCTCCCTCTCTCTCCCTCGGTCAAACTCCAGCCTGATCGCTACTCCACAACGCCCCCGCCCCCTCGACATCCTTCTCCCTCCCCCTCCCTCCCCATCGCGCGTGCCTCCTAAATACGTGCTTGCAGACTTAAATCCTTCCCTCCCTCCGTCACGTTGGCCTTGTTGGTCCCGTGACAAGTGCACACGGGGGCGGCGAAGGGAAGACGAGGTGGACAAAAGAAAAATAGGAGGCGATGAAAGGAGCGAGGATGCGAGAAGAGGAAGAGGAAGCAAAAAAGAGGCTAGGATGTAGTAGAAAGATGAAAAGAAAGCGACAGAAGCGAAAGAAGCAAAGAGGAAGAGGCAAGAGAAGAGGAAGCGAGCGAAGCGAGAGGAGAGAGGAGCGTGGAGGAGGGCGGACGAGAGCGGGTGGAGCGAGCGCGGGCGGCGGGCGGGGGCGGGCGGGGCGGGGGCGGGCGGACCTCGTCCTCCCCTTTAAAGAGCCGGGCGGCCTCTCCTGCTCTACGGCCGGAGAGGAACAGCACGTAGCCGTCGCTGTATCGGGGTCGACAGGTGGTAGCCCACAGGTGGTTCAAGCAACAGGCACGGCCACCAGCTGCCTCCACTTTGTTACAAGACCATTAATCGTTTAGCAACAAGATACCGCGCCCACAGCCTCGTCTATTCACCCATTTTCTTTCTCCAGCAAATGCGAGAACGGGAAGAGGAAGAGGGCATGGGAGGAAGGGGGAGAGGGAGAGGGAGAACAAGAAGCAAGGATTTTCAACTCGGGAACAAGGCGGCCTCTCGCGGGGAGGAGATGCTGCTGCTGAGATACGCGGCGAGGAGAGGGGAGGCGAGGCGCGTCCAGGCAGGAGCGACGCACACTCAAAGCACGCCCTCACCGCTGGAAGCATGGGCGCGTCGTGGGAGGGAGGAGGGAGGAAAAGAGAGAGAGAGAAGAGAGAGAGAGAGAGAGAGAGAGAGAGAGAGAGAGAGAGAGAGAGAGAGAGAGAGAGAGAGAGAGAGAGAGAGAGAGAGAGATGCACACATGCATCAACCCTGATCCGTGCATTCATACCCTCGCAATCAATACCAAGCTGCTGGATGCCACGCCCGCGCTCACGGCTCTCTGCCCGACGTTCCCCTCGCTCTCCCGCCCACCCGCCCACCTCGCGCTCTCACCCACCCCGCCCCTACGCTCTGCCCAGTCCTGCCCACCTCGCTTCCCTCGCCCTTTGCCCACGCAGAAGGTGCATGACAGAGACGCCAACCTGACGGGCGCTAACGGTCAACGCCGAACAAGCACGAAAAGACAGTCAAGTGGGGAGAGAGAGGGGGGGGGGGTCCTTGGGCTATATTGTGGTCTCACGAGGGAGGGAGGGAGGGCAGGGGGGAGGGGATCCTCTATCATCCAGGGATTGACTCCTGCCAAGTCAACAGCCCTGCTTAGACGGATTAGGCCGAGGGGAGGGGAGGTGGGGGGGAAGGGGGCGAGGCAGAGCACTGCATGACCCTCGCATGAGCACTCAATCCCCGCGGCGAGGGGGGGGATTGGACAGGGGGTAGAGGACCTTGCCCCTTGCCCCTCGCCCTTCCCCATTCCCCTCCCTCCTGCCCTCCTACCTAGCAAGATCTAACCATCGCTGTTGCCTAGACGCACCGAGATCAGCTCAATACGCTCCTCGCATTATATTTGTCGTGTTGCTCCCGCCATGCAGGGACTTAAAGGCACGCATCGACTTGGACGTTACTAACGACCTCTCAAGCGCTGTACAGGATCGTGGAGGCGACGCAGCCGACGACCAACGCACCCAGAGCGTTTAGACGGCGTTCTCATCCGCTCTTCTGCGACTCCGTCAGGTCCCCTCCCTCGCTTGCCGTTCCGTTCGTCGGGGCTGTCCGTTCCGATCCGATCTGTTCCAGCGTCATGTCCGTTCCTTTTCGTTCCGTTCCTCCATCGTCGTTCTCGGCTGGAAGAGCATGCGGGGCGGGGAGTGTTGCCATCGCGAGCGCCGCCGCCGCCGCCGCCCGCAAGCCACATGGAACCGCTCTCGTCCAAACTGTCACGCTGCATACGCCCTTGTTGCCCGGGAGGGGAGAGCCGTTCCCCTTCCCCACCAACCCACCCCCACCCCCACCCCTTCCCAAACAAGTACGCGAACAGATACATTCCGACCTTTATGGAAGGGGGTATTAGGGGCTAAAATACTAAAGCGATGAAGAGGATGAGGGGAGGAGAGAGGGGAGGGAGGGAGGGGAACCAGCATTGATGGAGCATTATGGAGTGTGGGGGTTAAGGGGGAGGGAGGGGAGGGGGAGGGAGGCAATGGCAGGGTCAGGGGAGAGAGGAGGAGAGGGGGGAGGGCAGTAGAGGCAAGCGGAGGGCGGTCGCGCACACGAGATGCAAAGCGTCCCTCACCGCTCCCGAACTACACGTCGACTCCGTTCCACACGCTGACATTACACGAAAATAGAGGATAACGGAGGAGGAGGAGGAGGAGGAGGAGGAGGAAAGGAGGAGGGAAGACGTAAAGAAGGAATAGCAAGGAAAAGGGAGGCGCCGCCGCTGCAGAAAGACGGAAGGAGAAAGGAGCTGAGGAAAGAGGAGCAGGAGTGGAGGGAAGGAGCAGGAAGGAGGAGGAGTAGGAGGAGTAATAGTATCAGGAGCAACAGCAGCAGCAAGTAGGGGAGGGGGGAGGAGAGGAGGGGGGAGGGGAAACCCGATCGCCATCACCCGAAGGAAACTTTGGGCGCCGCGGACATTCCACCTTTCTCTGGTTTCATCCTTGAGACTCCACATATGGACCACGACTCGGGAGGCGGAGAGGGAGAGAGGGGAGAGAGGGAGAGAGGAGGAGAGAGGGAGAGAGGGAGAGAGGGAGAGAGGAGAGAGAGAGAGGAGAGAGAGGAGAGAGAGGACCCACGAAACCGATTCCCAGACGCTCTTCCCTCCAACGCCGTTCACACTCGCCGTCCCGCGAGAAGCAACACCGCCTCCCCCCCCCTCCCTGCCCCTCCCTTCCTCCTCCCGTGCATGAATTTGCTCAACTGACGGAGAAAAAAATATATACCGTAGTCTTCCAAGCCACGTGAAATCTCTCATAACCAGTCAACCATTCGGATAATCGCAGCGCCGCTCCCCCCTCCCCCTTCCTTCCTTCCCCCCTTCCCCCCATCCTCCCTCCTCGCTCCACCGGAAGACGAAAGCCGATCGCCGCGTCCGTGTCGGCGAATGTTGCCGAGATCATCGTCGGCGACAGCAATGCAAAATGCACGCAGCGCGAATCCAAGATGGCGAAGCATAAACAACTGTGACGAGTTATTTTTTTTTTTGTCGATTCCTGGAGAGCGGAGGGGGGGAGGAGAGGTAGAGAGAAAATCTATTTTTAATTTCGACTTTCGACCGCCCCCCCAAAATTTCAACGCCCCAATCCCAGACCCCTTCCCTTCCTTCCTCCCCCCCCCCACCACCTCCCGCCTCCTCTCCCATCTTTCCTCACACAAGCTTCAAGTTCCAAATCCGACCTCGTCCCATCGCCGCCCACGGATCGCCCCGCCCACGCTTCTTCCAGCCCATGGGGTCTCCCACGAGCCGAAACGCTAAGACATACCAAGATAACAGAACCTGAAGAGTGACGAGAGAGAGAGTGAGAGAGTGAGAGAGTGAGAGAAGTGAGAGAGTGAGAGAGAGAGAGAGAGTGAGAGAGAGGAGAGAGAAGTGAGAGAGAGTGAGAGAGAGAGAGAGAGAGAGAGAGAGAGGAGAGAGAGAGAGAGAAATGGGAAAAAAAGACATCGGCGC